TCCCTCATCTCATTCAGATCTCGGGACCGCCACGTAGACATTAAAGAACCACGGGAGAATGATGCATCGGAGCAGGAGGAGATGAGTCTCTTCGCCTGGATCATTCGCTTCCGACCGTGCAGCGCCCATCCGGATGTTTTTCAAGCCCACGTTTCTCCCTCCTGACATTCAATCCTCCCTGCCCTCGTCCCCCATTCTGAGTCTTCCTCCTCCTCCTCGTCCTTCTCGTCCGTTCTACCCTCCCTCTCGTGTTCTTCGCGTTGCCCTTTCCTACTTATTCCCCGTCCTTCGTCTCCTTCCCCATTTCCCCCCCCTCGTCTTCCGTTTCCTCGTCCGCTTTCGCCTGCCCCACCCTGCCTTTTGCCCACCATGAGCAGCAGCCCTTGCGGGCCAAATCGGGACCAGCAGGAACGGAGCAGGGCGGCGGTCGAGCAGGAGGAGGAGGAGGAGGAAGACCAGGAGGAGGATGAGGAGGAGGAGGGAGGAAGAGGAGGGAGGAGGAGGGAGGAGGAGGAGGAGGAGGAGGGAGGAGGAGGAGGAGGAGGAGGGAGGAGGGGAGGAGGGAGGAGGAGGAGGGGGAGGAGGATGAGGAGGAGGGAGGAGGAGGAGGAGGAGGAGGAGGAGGAGGAGGGGGAGGAGGAGGAGGGGGAGGAGGAGGAGGAGGAGGAGGAGGAGGAGGAGGAGGAGGAGGAGGAGGAGGAGGAGGAGGAGGAGGAGGAGGAGGAGGAGGAGGAGGATGGAGGAGGAGGAGGAGGAGGAGGAGGGAGGAGGAGGGCGGCGGTCGAGCAGCAGGGGGAGCGGCAGGCAGAGCACGAGCCGCAGGGCGAGCCCCGAGCAGGAGAGGGCGAGCACGAGCGGCGGCAGGGGCGACGCTGGCGCAGGGAGTCCGCATCCGCGAGCCACCGCCCGCGGGATCGATTAGGGGGCCACATGCGAACCCTACCCCTACCCCCCACGATTTCTGAGGGGGAGGGTGGGGTTCACTTCGCACCCCAGGAGAGGCCTGGGGAGTAGCGGTGTCGGTACTTTTTGGTTCCAAAAGAAATGTCAGGGCCCCGAATCATCAGGGCCGGGGGCAGTCAGGGGTAGCTGCAGGGTTCCCGCCTCGGGGGCCCAAGCCGGAGTTATCCCCGACGGCCGTTATCCCAGATGCTTCGGGCGTCCAACCCTCCGAATAATTAGGGGGCCAGATGCGAACCCTACCCCATACCCCCCACGATTTCTGAGGGGGAGGGTGGGGTTCACTTCGCTCGGGAGGTCCCGAACGAAGTGAACCCCACCCTCTCCTTCAGAAATCGTGGGGGGTAGGGGTAGGGTTCGCATGTGGCCCCCTATCGATCTGCAGGGCCTGCAGCAGGCTCTGGACAACGTTCAGTCGGGCCTGTCCCCTCACAGGAGGAGTGTTCAAGGAATGGCCGAACATGGTACGGGGAGGTTTCTTTGAGTGTTGTTTGGCTCTGTTTGGTGATGCTATGGGTATTTTCTTATTTTGTCGCCCGATTTTCGCCTGTGGGGGGACATGCCCGACCTAAGGATGATGCGGTTCTCGGACTCCCTGAGGCCAAACTAGATCCGTTGGGGGAAGGAGGAATGACATAAACATGACAACTCGGAGGCCGCGCGGATTTCTCGGATCGGAGGTCCGTGCGGATGTCTCCCTTCCCTGGAGCGCGGAGCGCGCCAGGGGCGGCGCCAGAGGCGCCGCCAGGGGGGTCCAGCGCGGATCTGAAAAATCCGCGCGGACCTCCGAGTTTTTACGTTTATGTCATTCTTCGTTCCCCTATCAATGTCCACCGCCCGCTGGGGTCGTCTTCCTCGTTCGCTGACTCGTCAAGCAGCGTTGCCTTCCCACGCGCTGCGATAACGGCAGAGTTCCCCGTGTCGAGGGAAAGCGTGCCTCGCACGCGCCTCGCCCGCCCCGTGACGGCGCCGCCTCCCTGGGCGAGTTTTGGCATCGCTCGGGCGTGTGCACTTTTTCTCGGCGAGGGCCATCGAGGAGCATCCTGGATCACTTGCGAATACATACGCGCGCGAAACCGAACATGTCGCGGGGAGTGGACGTCCGAGCGGTGGCGAGGCGATGGCAGTCGTGACAGTGCCCGACTGTGGCTGCGAGACCGCCCGCTGGGGTCCCATGACGTCGGTTCTCCAGGTTCGGATGCAACTCCTGGGAGGTAATTTTCTGACGTTGCCGCGGTTCGAAACCCGGCTTGGTCCCCTTTCGCTCCGTTTCATCCCGTCTCGTCCGCCCTCTCATCCCGCCAGCTTCCCGCTCCATCCGCGGCCCAATCCGACGTAGCGGCCCCCCTCCGGTGGGGCTCAGCTCTCCCTCGTCCCTCCGACGCCTCCTGCCACCCGGGCGGTGGCCGTGGACCGCCCCGCCGGCGCCTCGCAGAAGGCCGCGGGCGAGGCAGGAGGCCCCCCCGCCACCCCCCTCCCGCGGGCCCGAGGCTCTGGAGGAGGCGCTTCGTGGCGGTGGACGACGCGCCGGGGCTCTCGCCCACGAGGTTCGAAGAAGAGCGCCAAGGCAGAAAGTTCAGAGGAGGAGGAGACGGTGCCCATACCGCTGCCCTTTCCTCGTTTCCCCTTTTTGGGCCTCCTGGGAGGCTCTCGCCGCCACCGCTGCATTCGCCTCGAAATTCTGGTCAGAACGCACCCCAGGAGAGGCCTGGGGAGTAGCGGTGTCGGTACTTTTTGGTTCCAAAAAGAAATGTCAGGGCCCCGAATCATCAGGGCCGGGGGCAGTCAGGGGTAGCTGCAGGGTTCCCGCCTCGGGGGCCCAAGCCGGAGTTATCCCCGACGGCCGTTATCCCAGATGCTTCGGGCGTCCAACCCTCCTAATCATTAGGGGGCCAGATGCGAACCCTACCCCATACCCCCCGCGATTTCGGAGGGGGAGGGTGGGGTTCACTTTGCTCGGGAGCTCCCGAACGAAGTGAACCCCACCCTGCCCCTCAGAAGTCGTGGGAGGTAGGGGTAGGGTTCACATCTGGCCCCCTACCTAAATCATCAGGGCTGGGAGCCGTCAGGGGTAACAGATTCGCGCCTCGGGGGCCCATACCAGAGTTACCCCAGACCGCAGTTATCCCGGATGCTTCGGGTGTCCAAGCCTCCCAAGCCATCAGGGCTGGGGGCAGTCAGGGGTAATTAGTTGTAAATTAGGGCCTCGGGGGCACAAACTAAGGACTTACCCCAGACCGCAGTTATCCGGCGGGCGGTAATGAGGGTGACCTCAATGGTTGGTGACGAAAATATGCCTAAAGGGGCCCTTTAGGGCCCCTTTTGTAGCTAGCAGGGGCACAAGAGGGGCCCCAAAGGGCCCCTTTGGGGTCATCTCTTCGCCCCCCACGTCGGTAACCTCTACTACCACCCGCCCGAAGTTATCCCTCACAACTCGGGCGTCCACATCAAATCTCGGAGGTCCGCGCGGACCTCCGAGAGTTTGTGTTCATGCCGTTACTGGCTCCTCCTCCGAAGGTGGCGCGGGCCGCGCACGGCCCGGCCGGTCGCTGCCTGAGCCCGCGGGCGCTCCTGGTGCGGAACGGGCGCGTGCGCTGGCGAGGGCGGGCCGGGCCACGAGCAGAAGAAGGGGCAAGAGCAAAAATTTGGACGCCCGAAATGGGCACGGAAACAATGGGTGCGATGCCCAACAACAAATGTTGTCCCGAACCAACAGCGGCCGCTGTTGGGCAGGCGGCCTTCTGTCTCAAATGGACACAGGCCGCGGCGACACCGACAGCGAGTCCTGATCAGAATGAACAGGAACTGCTGTTGGGCATTGTACCCATTCTTTCCGTACCCATTTCGGGCGACCCAAAAAAAACGAGCAGAACAAGGGGCAAGTTTCGGCTTCGAGGCTCGAGGCCGTCGGGCGTGGTCGTCGGGATTCTTCAGTTCTCCGGCTTCGTGGTGCTCTCCAGCAGCTGCTCCGCGCCGAGAGCGTCCCCGGGGGCCGCTAGAGAGCCGAGCTCTGAACCGAAAGCCAGGAGGCAACGTTCATAGGGGCATGCTGGGATCGGCGCGGGGGTTTGCTGAGTAAGTGGAAGGGTTGCCACAAGATGCCAGGGTGGGTCATGTCTGGCCTGACGTAGCTTGTAAGCGGGAAGCAGATGACTCCGCGAAGTGGGCGGAGCCCACTTGGCACGGAGCGTTGACCCTCCTAAGCCCGTTGGGGCGTTTGTAATTTGTCGCGTGACGCTTCGCAGTGCGCTCGGGTGTTGCCTCATGAGGGGCGATAACTGGAGGGTGACGAAATTTGCGCCCTTGGTGCCCCCTCGATGGGGTCCTCAATGGGTCCTCTGGGCCTCAAAGGGGCACGAAAGGTGCCTGCGTCTCCCCCCCCCCTCATTGAGCAACGCCCGAGGGGCGCGGTCTTGGGGCGGGCTCGCGAGGCGGGTTCGCGAGAGCGTGGTCGCAAGAGCGGGGTCGCGGGGCGCGTCGCGGGGCGGGGCTCGCGGGGCAGCTCTTGCGGGGCAGGTCGCGGAGCGCTGTGGGGGGCGGGTCCCGGGTCGACGGCGACGGCAGGGGCGACAATCATGCGGGCAATGTTCATATCCATATCCAACGGTGACTATTGTCCAGGGTCCACCGATGACCTGGGTTATCCGGCCCGCCCCCCCCCCTGTCCCCCCGCAGATGACCTCACCGTGTCGGTTGCGCAGTTCCGAATGGGGGTGCGCAGTATTGGTGCGCGCGGGCATACTTCGGGCTGCCCAAGGCGAAACGGTTAGGTTATCGGCCAGAACTCCCCCCCCCCGTCGGATAAACTGGGCTATCGCCCGCAAAATAAAGCAACTGTTTTTTTTGTATTTGGGATTTTTGTTGGGAAGGGGCGCCACGAGGCCGAGGCGCAGTGGATATGCATAAACATCTCGGCTCTAAGGGCCACATGTTTACACATCTCCACTGCGCCACAGGTTTCTGGGGAAGGGAGCTCAGAACTCCAAGACACAGAGGACATGGATACAAGCCTTGACCGCACATCCGACGTTCGGAGCCCCACTCTCACGCGCATGCGGCGCAGGCTGAGGGCTCTCGACCTCCCCGCTCTGACGACGGCTGCGTGCGGGGGGCCCTTGGGCAGGGCGCGAGCCAGACGGTGTTGTGGCGACCTCGTAGACCTCTTGCGTTCTGGCCTCGCTCTGCAGCGCAGGCGGAGCGAAGACTCGTTGCCACGGGTGGACGCGGTCGGAAAATCCGCCCGGGAAGAACGCATGGTGGTATTCAGGGGCGTGGGTAATCGGGGGCTGCCAAGAGGGGGGTGATGATTTAATGACTTGGGGGGTATCATGACCGAGGCCATCTAGATTTCATGGCGCCTCTTCTTGTTTCAATAAGTCCCCTGGCCCCCCCACCCTTGGCCGCGCACATGCCTTGGTCCATGATTTGCGCTCCCCCCTCTTGAACGCCCCCCTCTTGGCCGCCCCCTGGTGGCGAGTCCTGGGCTCTCTGCCGGCGCGCCGTCGCGGCGCCGCGCTGCCTGAGCATGCTTTGCCTCCTTGCGCCCTCCGCGCGACAGGATTCTTGGCTTCGCTCGGACGTGTGCATCTTCTCCTCGGCGAGGACAATCGAGTAGCATCCTGGGTCATCTTGCGGAAAAGCACGCAAACCCGCGAAATGTACGGGGAACGGTTGAGCGAGTGCAAGAATCGTCGAAGACGTCTGAGCGATTGCAAGAATCGTTGTGGATAAAAGTCTGGTAGCACACCATTGGCTCAAGCTGTTTTTCCTGCTGGTCCCAGTATTCCAAGTTCAGGGGAGGCAAAGGTACCCATACCGCTACCCTTGCCTCGTCTTCCCCTCTTTGGGCCTCCTGGAAGGCCCTCTTCACCACGGCTGGGTTCGCCTCGAAATCCTGGTCCGAACGCACCCGAGTAGCGGTATCGGCACCCTTTGGTTTCTCCATTGCTGGGTCTGGTACTCCAGCAAGTGAGCATCGAGTCTGGCAGCTGGCGGTTGACTAAGGCGGCGCGGACCGGTAGCGGGGTCTGACTGCTTTCCCAGGGACGCGGATCCAGGATTCTGCAAGATACGGCGGGAGAAGGCAGGGCGAGGTGACGGGTTTGTTTTCCACCACAACCACCATAAGTTGGAGGGCGAGGGGGTTGTCCTCCTTCTCCTCCACCACCTCCTCCTCTTCGTCCTCCTCCTCCTCGTCCTCCACCTCCTCCCCCCCTCCAACTGATGGTGGTGGCGGTGGAGAACAGGCCCATCAAGAGGAGAACGTTCTGCCCCCCACGGCCGCCGTCTCCTCGGCTGTGCCGATGCCCCGGTCGACCAGAAGAGTCTTCATCTCGGCCGACACCGGCGCGTAAGCTGCCAGCACGCGTGAGGTCGCGCGTGAGCGCCCTCGCTTCCGATGTGGCGTGCCGCGCTGGCAGCCTGCATCAGCCACATCGTGAGGTCGCCATGCCATCTCGCATAAGACCCGTCTTGTTTCGTCGCTCATCTGCAGAGGCTCTGTTTTCAGTCAGCGCCGCCCACTCACAGATTTCCTGCCCAGCGGGGCGACGCGGGCGCGGGCGAAACGTCAGCTGCCCCGCCGCTCCCACCAGGTTGGGGGACCAACAGGGCTGTGCCTGCGCCGTCGCGCGCTCTTCGGGCAAGACTTCAGGCCAGATGGGGTCGCCGATGCATCGGCGATGCGGCTCGATGTGGAGCCCGATTTTCCCCACGTCGACGGCGCCGATGCATAGCCCACGTTGCCGATGAATCGATGCTGCGGCGCGATCCTCCGACGCCATCAACTTGGAACCCATCCAGGAGTCCTCGAAAGACCGATCGGATGAAGAGCGGGGGAGGACTGAATCGGGGTGTCCCAGAGGTCGGGGCGACCTGGGCCAGCGCAAAGGCGGAGCGCGTGCGGCAAGAAACGTCTGGCTGCAACGGGCAGGGACTTGTGTTACTAAAGCTAGAGGGGTTATGAACATCTGAAAGAGCGTGTTCTACCGCTGCTGGCGGAAAACCGGGGGGGGTCACTACCGGTTCGAACCCCTCCCCCCCCCCCTCCCAGCTCATCATGAAAAGGGGGGGGGGTCACTACCGGTTCGAACCCCCCCCCCCCCCTCGAAAACCGAGTGGGGGTGCGGACAGTGGTGGGGACGGTGTTGGTGGGGACAGTGGTGAGGGGACAGCGGGACAGTGGTGGGGACAGTGGGGGGACAGTGGGACAGTGGTGGGGACGGTAGTGGTGGGGACAGTGGTGGGGACAATGGTGGGAACAGGGGGGACAGTGGACAGTGGTGGGAACGGTGGTGGTGGGGACAGTGGTGTGGGGACAGTGGGAATGAGGTGGAAACACTGGGACAGTGGAGGGTACAATGGTGGTGGGGACACTGGTAAAGGCGGTGGCGAGGACGGCGGTGGGACAATGGGACAGAGGTACAGTGGGGACAGTGGTGGGGACAGTGGGGACAGTGGTGGAAACAGTGGGACAGCTCAGTGGGACAGCGGAGGAGTCAGTGGGACAGTGGGGACAGTGGGGATAGGCAGTGGTTGGGTCCGTGGAGACAGTGGGGAGAGTGGAACCGTGGTGGGAACAGTTGTGGGAACAGTGGGGACAGTGCGACAGTGGTGGGGGCATTGGTGGGGACAATAGGGACGGTGGTGGAACCAGTGGGGACAGTGGTGGTGAGGACAGTGGTGCTGGGAACAACAGTGGGGGATGTGATGCGAGCGGTGGTAGGGACCGGGAGTCGTTTGCTGGCGGTGCGTGGGGGGGGGGTCGAACCGGTAGTGACCCCCTCCGGTTTTCGAGGGGGGGGGGGGTTCCAACCGGTAGTGACCCCCCCCGGTTTTCCGGATCCGGAGGGGGGGGGGTGGAGGGTTCGAACCGGTAGTGACCCCCCCCCGGTTTTCGAGGGGGAGGGGGGGGGGAGGGGTTAGGGGAGGGGGAGGGGTTTTGCCGGGAGGGAGGGGGGGGGGGGGGGGTTCCGGCAGGGGGGGGGGGGGGGGATTTTCGGAGGGGGGGGGGGGAGACCCCCGGGTTCCGGAGGAAAAGGTTGGCAATTTCCCACAGTAAAGCGGCGGTGGATCACGCTCTCTCGAACATCTGAATCTCAGAACATTACTGTTTTGTTCTTCTTGGACAATACAGATGTGGCTGTTTACGCAAAAGAGGCGAGTGGCATGTGTCTGACCTCTCCACCATGTCTGTCCGTCGTGAACAAGAGGCCTATTGAAGTCTTTTGGAAGACTCTTTTGGGCATTATTGGGGCCTTCCTGGGTCTTGGGGTCTCTTGGGTGTCTGCTGGCTGTCTCTGCGGCACTCTCAGGGGCGAGGTCTCTACATTGCAGCTTGAGTTTTCCTTCTCGTTTTTTCCCACGAGGGCTTCTAAGTCCGTCCTGGGCGCTTTGAAGATCGCAAAACCGTGCATGTCTGCGAGATTTCTTGAAACAAAGGTGCGCCTACTATTTTTCGTGATTATCACCGCATGGGCCCGCCCTCCAGGACGTCCAAGACGGACCAAGAGGCCTTCAAGAGAGCCCCACAACCATCCCTCGAGGAAGCCGAGAGTTCATAAGCTTGTTGAGCGTTGTTTGGAAGGCTCTTGGGCGATGCTCGAGTCCGTTTGGACGGGTTGGGTTTCCTGGGAGGCCCACGCGGCAAGTGCCAGAAGTGCCCAGGAACGCCCAGAACATCCTCCAAATGTGCGGTCGATCGACATGGAGCGAGGGAACGAGCCGAAGAAAAGGCAGCACGCCGAGAGCAAGAGAGAGAGAGAGGTACAGGGAGGGAGAGTAAGAAGGCGGCAGACATAGAGAGAGAGAGAGAGTCCCTGTTTGCATACCACCACCGCTGTTGCTGATCTCGCTGATAATCTCGAGCCTCTCCTGTGAGACACGGTGTCACTGACCGAGCTGTTAACACACTTTGGGCTCAATCCGCATCGACACGCCTGAATGAAAACAGCGGCGGCGAAGACCTAGCTCGTGTGCCAGCGAGAGAGGTGAGCAGGTAGGGGACGTGATAAGTGATGAGGTCTCTCAGGGTGGGAAGGAAAGAGAGACAGAGACAGAGAGTGAGAGAGAGAGGCCCAACGCGCGGTCGTAGGGCGGGGCCGCACGTCCTCCTTAGCAGAGGGCGGGTGGTCGGCATCGGTCCCTCAAGAAGCTGGCCCTACCATTCGTCGGCTTTCGGCGGCAAGAAGGTGAGTAGCACTACCTGATTACCGTTCGTTGGGTTTCTACTGCAGGGATGAGGCAAGTCCTCGGCACCCACGGGAGCCCTGGGCAACCTAGGTCAGGGGTTGGAAGGAGAGGACGATGCATGAAATGCAGAGGACACGAGGTTAAGCGGTAGGAAATCCCAAGACGCACCTCTGGGTTGCACGATCATCGTCAGGACATCAGAAGCATCTCTGGTTGGACGCGCCTGCGCTCACCTTTTCGGGCCCTAGGGGAGACACAGGGAAGTCGGGCTCGGATTGCGAGGCCCGTTCCACGTCCTGCTACCATAGGAATTGCTGCGCCTACCATTCAAGTGATTGTCCTGTGAACCACTGCCTGTTCTTCCCCATTCGCAAGTGTAACAGGGAGCTGGAGGGTATTGGGCAGTCCTTACGGCCGGTGCCGTCCACCCTGAAGGGGGACGGCGACCACGACGGCGGCGTCGGCGGCGACGACGACGACGCTGACGTGGGGCAGAGTCAGCGATGCTTCGTGGGGCCTCTTCGGAGCGCGCTCGTAGGCCTCTGGGGGGCAGTGTTGGAGCCGCGTGGGGGATCTTTGGGGCCTCTTGGAGCCTCTTGGGGATCCCTTCGGGCTTTTTGGGGGCCTCTTGGGGGCCTCTTGGGGCCTCGTGGGGGCCTCGTGGGGGCTTGATGCGGCCTCCTGGGAGCTTTTCGGGGCCGAGAGCTCGAAATATTAGTTCGGGCGCTCGTGTGGGCACCTTCTTGGAGCCTTTTTGGTGTCCTCTTGGGCCGTCTTAGGGCGCTGAGAAGCCGAAGAGGCAGAACTTTATTTATTTGTGCCTGTTGGGCCCCTCTTGGTGTGCTCTTGGAGGCCCCTTCGAGCGTCTTGAAAGCTGCTTGGGCTGTCAAGAGGCCACCTCTGTTGTCTTGGACCGATTGTTCGGCGATTCGGGGCCCTCTTGGACAGTCTTGGGGGCCTCTTGGGTTGCCTTGGGGCCTTTTTTGGGCCCCAGGACCCACTGGCGGGGATGGTATTCTGACCCGGGATCCCCCCCCCCGCCGGGACCCTTCCCAGGACCCCCCCCACCCCCTGGCGGGGGAAAGGATCAAAGGGAAGGGGCTTTCCTTCCGACTCAACTACGACGTTCCTTAATTTCGGCGTGTTTTCGCGTTGGCAGGCTCGCTCGAGGAGGAGGGCCTAGTGAAAGGGGGGGAGCGGCGACAAGGAGGGAAGGGGAGCGGCGACAAGCCCAGGGAAATAGGGTGAAACGCGGGCAAACGCGACGACGACGATGACGTCGAGGCAAACAGAAAGTCGTCTACCACACGCAGGCAGAGTCGGCGGATTTGAAAGCTCTTGCAATAACCACGTCTTTCTCGTGAGGGTCCAGTGGAGCGCCGCGTAGGCTTTCACAACCTGTCACCATCTCCACTCGTCCACTGGGAAGACCAGCCAAAGAAACAGGGCAGACAGAAATCCTGCCACGTAGCCAAGCACCTCGTGTTGGACCGGAAGAACCTCGGTGGACGAGATCGGCGCAGAGGCCGAGTTTGATGTTATATAAATCTTGATTTGCGAATCTGGCTCCGATTCTGAGGTGCTCGAATCAGCATCCGAATTGTTTCAGAGAGCGCTGTCATTGATCACATTGAGCACCATCGCCACTGCCTTGGACTTCTGCTTTGGCACCCACTTCCGCGAGCAGTGGGCGGTGATGATTTGTTCATGTTGCCATTGATGGCCTTGTCGGAGCTCATCGCAGACTCCAAGATGTTGGCCGCTTCTCCCCTGGTCGCTTTCTTGGACGTCGTTTTTCTTGTGCCTGGCAGCGACTGCAACCACCCGTGCTCAGCACGACGCAGGATGCTGGGAGATGACGGCGCCTTCGCAACTGGTGTAGGAGAAGTTTCGCGACCACCATCATGTGGCACAGACTTCTGGGTCTTCGACTCGGGTTCGGCCTCTCAGAGTTTCGCAATTGTGTTTCCGAACGAGGACTCCATTTTTCGCCCTGCTTACGCAGACGTAGCTCCTCGGCCTTATCCTTCTTGTCCTTCACGAAAGCCTGGTACTCGGGATTGGCCTTGGCGAAGTTCCCGCGAAGCTTATTAGTGTGTGCCGCCACTCTGGCGGGCCCACTGAGCTTGACCTCGCACGGCGGTCACGATCACGATCATCATGCCCACGATCTCGCCCATCTCGCCCACCATCGCACCTATCACGCGAGACTTCGCGACGATCACGGTCGTTGCGGTCACGCTAATCTCCCTTGCGTTTTGGATTGTCACGCCGATCCCGATTGTCTCCCCGGCGGTCATGGTCGTCACGACGATCGTGGCCACGGTCGCGATCACCCTGTCGCCCGCTGGAGTCGCACCACCCGTCGTAGGACCTCCAACGCACATCGCGGATACTTCCACGGTAGGTCCAGGAAGGCTGGCGTTTGTTTATGCCAATGGCGGTGACCGTCA